GCAGGCACGGCCGGGGCCACCAGGGAGACACGGGAAAGAAGGAAGGGACCGGGTTCTCGCACGGCTCTGTGCTCGGTGCTGTGCTGGGGCACCACCCACGCTTCCTTCATCTTTACACAACCCTGGAAACAGCACAACTGCCCCCCATGTTGTAGATGAGTAAACTGAGGCTCCGAGAGGCCAAGTTATTTGCTCTGCCAAGTTATATTGAAACAAGATCTGCCTCATTTAAAAAGGAAAACAAAACAAAACCCAAAAACCAAAAACAAGAAAGAGGAAGGAAAAAAGGAAGGAGAAGCAGAAGGACAGCAAGGACTGCCAATGCTGCTCTTCCTATCTAAGTGGTGGCCCCGGACCAGGGCACACAGCAGGTGCTCGTAACAGTTTCAAATGAAAGACAGGCCTGGAGGCATAAAAGGGCACAGCCAATCCTGAGGGGGGTGGGAATGAATGTCTTTAAGCCTCTAGTTTCTGAAGCACACTGACCAGGCATATTTAGTCTTCCTTTTTAAAGCTTTAATTATGGAACCATTTCAAACACAGAAAAAGCAGACATCAGTGACCCCATCACCCAGATTCACCGGATGTTCATATTTTGCCATACTCAGTTCAAATGGTTTTATATTGAAGTGATGCAGACATCAAAAGAAAAGCCCTCACCCCACGCTATCCCCAGAGGTCACCACCATCCTTAAAGTTGGTTACCCCCTTCCTGAGCATTTGGCATTGTTTTGCGTTTTTTAACTTTCAGAGTGTTGGTATCTCACTGTACCCTTCCTTCTACAACTTGACTTCCACTCCGTTATTATGGGTTTTTATTTTTTGAGTCTATGCTGACACATGTAGGTCTAGTTCATTCATTTTAGTTGCTATATGTTATTTTACTGTGTGAATATAGAAGTTTATTTTTCTAGTCTCTTATTGATGGACACATGGGTAGTTTTGATTCTTTGCTGTTTCATACAGTGCAGCAATGAAACCCTTTACACACATCTCCTGGTGTACTCATGTGTCACATATAACCTTTATAACAACTGCAGCGTGTTGGAATTTATGCACCCCTACGTGACCTTGTAGAATTGCTTAATGTCGTGGAAGCTTGGTTTTCCTCATCAGTAGGTTGGGGTAATAAAATAGTATGCATTTTGGTGACCATTAGGTGCTTTGGCAGAGATGAGATGCATTTTGCATCCCGTGAGGTACCCATGAATATCTGTGGTTTGCTATGCAGATATTTGGCACTCAGGATGTACTGCACGCCCTCCCACACTGGGACACCGTGCACAGGCCCATGGTGTGCTCACGTGCAGACCGGACGGTCTGAGAGGTGCAGCAGGAGCAGGACACATAGAATCTACTCATTAACGGAGCCCGGAGTGGTGGGAGCAGGCACAGCTTCAGAGAGGGAGGGGTACCGAGCTAAGTCCTCAAGGGACCAGGAGGCAAAAGGCAAAGGCAAGCAGAAGTGGGAAGGGTGGAAGGATGGCCCAGACACAGAGAGCAGCAAATGTGAAGGGATGCGCTGGCGCGAGAGCAAGTGTATCCGCGCACAACCTACGAGGTGGGGGCGAGGGGTGAGGACAGGACAGAGTCTGGAGAGGCAGGCAGAGCTGAGATGCCGCATCCTAGGTCAACAGGGAGCAGCTGAAGGATTTGAAGCAAGGGAGTGACAGGCTCAGATCTGCATGTTAAAAAAAAAAAGCAGGGGCGCCTGGGTGGCGCAGTCGGTTGAGCGTCCGACTTCAACCAGGTCACGATCTCACGGTCCGTGAGTTCGAGCCCCGCGTCGGGCTCTGGGCTGATGGCTCGGAGCCTGGAGCCTGTTTCCGATTCTGTGTCTCCCTCTCTCTCTGCCCCTCGCCCGTTCATGCTCTGTCTCTCTCTGTCCCAAAAATAAAATAAACGTTGAAAAAAAAAATTTAAAAAAAAAAAAAAAAAAAAAAAAAAAAAAAAAAAAAAAAAAAAGCAGTCTGAATAAGCTCTGGAGATCTGCCATTCAACACCGTACCTTCAGTCAACAATAGTGTACCGTGCACCAAAATTTGTTAGGGGGGTAGCTCTCATGTTAAGTGTTCTTACCACAACTGAAAGACCAGGTCTGGCTGTGGCATGGAGGGCATGAGTGGAGGGGCTGGGAGACCAGTGAGGGGGCGCTGGGAAGCCGTGCAGGCGAGACACGGTGCCGGTGAACACAGGCAGTGGTCCTTCTGAGGCCATCACCCCGACTGTGTGGCCCCCCTCCACTGACGACACGCAGCAGGGGGCTTCATCAGGAGGGACAGATAGGACCGGCCAGCTGACAGAGCCTCACCTCCAATTCAAACAGCGTGTCCTCATACACCCCAACCAGTCCCCTTCTTGGGGTCACTTACCATCTTGCAAGGCACGAGCTCTCAAGTCTCTGGATGACAGAAGCCCTTTTGGCATCTCGGTACCAAAGGCATGGCCAAGGGTCCTCACCATTGTCCCATGATGGGGGCCAGTATCCCGATGGCATGGATGCCATGTGGGGTGACGGGAAGGGGAGGACAAGAGGGGCCGCTGGTTAACACTGCATGGCTGTGTCTAACATTTAAACATGTAATATATAAAATGGGACAAAGACACAAAAGAACTGCCCCAGACCACCATCTCTTAAGGGGGGACTCCCTAACAACCCTAACTCTGAATGACAGTACTGCCTTGGAAGCCTCTACCCTCCGGGCAGTGGCATTGTCCCCGGTTGCCCAAGAGCTAGGCTAAAAGCCCTTGCCATCCGCTCTCCTAGCATCAGTCCTTCCCTTTCTAGCACACTCCTCCCTTGTAGATTTACAAGTTTAGTTTTCATACTCCTTGTTGGGCTCTAAGCTCTGGGACAGAGCGACCAGAACCGAATCTGCCTTGTTCACTGTAGTTTCCCTAGTGCAAGGACACAGTCTGACTCAAAACAGGCCCTCCAGGACTATCTGTGAGTAGCGTCAATAGGATGCACTGGGGGAGGGGAAGCGGATGGAAGACGCTCAGATTTCAGAGGCCTGGAGACAGGAGAAGTATCTTGCCCAGGTCACAGGAGAGGCGGTAAGAGGTCAAGGCTCCCACTCGGGACCTCTGAGGCTCAGTGCAGGTCTTCCCACTCACTACACCGAGCCGAAAAGAGGCTGCGCGACAGACCGGCATGCCCCAAAGACAGTCCGTGGAATGCTGGTCTCAAAAGATTCTAGTGGATCAAACTGTTCTGTAGTTAAATAAGCGTGGCAAACTGAGTTAAACAAAATGAAAAAATTTTCTTTGCCATTGGACTTTTCAGAGCCTTTGATATGCTAATGTGCATGGGAGTCTTGGCGAAGGTCACAGGCAGTGTTGCCGCATCTAAGTGACCGAGGAATTGTGCCTGGGAAATGTAGTTTGAGACCTTTGGCACCATCCCCCATCTGCTCGCCATGGTTGTTTAGTGAACATGGCACAGCACGGAGATTTGCTGCGACTTTCTGGGCAACGCAGGAAAACCCGATCTCACAAATGGAAATAACTGCAAACCCCAATATATAAATGGGACGAAAACAGAACTGCTCGGGTTGAAGGTTGAAGGGGGCCTGGAGATCCCACCTGGCTGTCCCTTCTCTGCTGCCATGCCAAGAACCCTAGGGTCCTTCAGAGCCCAGTTTGAAAATCACTGGTTACACAGCTCTCAGTACAGGTGACATCGGGAGACCTGGCTTCTAGTGCCAACTCTGCCATGAACTGTTTTACCCTGGGCAAATCTCTTAGCCTCACTGGGCCTTGGTTTCCCCATTTACACAATGAGTCTATCGGACAGGATGCTTTCTGGAGTCCTGAACTTTAATCTCTGGTGTGAGGAGGACTGTGATTCCGGGACTATAAAGTTCTAATTCTATGATTCCACACTTCTCGGATTCTGAGATTTCATGGCTTAATATTCCGATTCTGGAAGTGCCCCCAGCCAGCCAGGGCTGCTTCGGCACAGTGGAGCCCAGGCTGTGGAAACCAGAATTCATGACCTGCAGGGTGCTGCCCGGGAGTGCCGGGTACCTGGGGAGGGCTTGCTCCATGCAGGATGGAAGGGTGGGGTGGGGAGGGGGGCGGGGTGGGGAGGGCAGCGGGGGTGGAGCAGAATCAGCAGCTGCTCAGTGGGCAGAGCAGAGAGAAGGACCCAGGTCTCCTGACTCCTGCTCTATCTTTAGATCTCCATAGCAACCGTCACCAGGACTCCGGAGGAGCTGAAGGCGGAGGAGCTGAAGGCGGGCTGAGCTGGCTGCCTGCGGGAGGGAGGGGTGTTTGTTTCCGTATCTCTTCTGCTCAGGAAAGGACTCTTGCTCTTGAGAAAGGGGAAGGGAGACAGAGAGTGAAGCCGTTTGCAGCAGGAAAGGCCTGGGCCCGATACGAAATAGAAGTAATCCAGGGCCCACCTTGCTCGGAGAATGTGATCAGGTCACAGAAGCTGAAACCGCTGTGTCAGGCTTGAGGCACTGGAGGTACATAAGGCAGGTTCCTCCTCCAAAGAGCTCTTAGCTACCCCTACGCTCATTCCCTAGGCATTTGCAAGCAACATATCCGAGCCAGCCCTGAGGCCACAGCAGGGAGACACATCTTCCAGGGAAAGCAGACTTTTGAACAGACTTTTATAGGGCAGGGGCAGATGGGGGTCCCCAAGCCCCCTAATCTAAGGAACCTGGGAAGCTCCTCCTGCACCTTCTCCTGCCAACTCCTATCCATCCCACGGCTTAGCATGGACCTGACTTTCTCCAGGGAGCCCTTGACTCCCAGGCTGGTGGCTCTCCTCCTAAGAGCTCCTGCGGCCCCATCCTCCTTCTATACAGCAATATGTCTGCCTGAGGGAGTTGGCCACCCCGTGGGGTAGATGGGAGGTGGAGGTGCGCAGAGGCAAAGATCTTCACCTAGGTCACCTGGCCAGTTAGCGGCAGGGCCAGGCCTGCTCTTCATGTTTTCTGACTCAAGTCCGTGCTTCCTCCAGTGTCCCAGTGGCAGGACCCTAGCGAGGGCTAGAAGAGGAAGCAGGAGTCCTCGCCCAGGCCTGCGCACAGCAGGTACCTGGCCATGTCCTTGGTAAACTCCGCTGAGCCACAGACCAATGCAAACGGCTTTCTCCGACAGGAGCCAACCAGCTCTTCAATCAGGTCCTGGGCCAGGCGGCCAAAGCGGGTCTTCTCCCGGTAACTCCAGGGAAGCTGCTCCGGAGAGTTCTCCTGAGACAATGAGAAATAGTGCAGGCGACTACTGGGAGGTCTTCAGAGTTCACGCAGCCAGTATGGTCTACCAAACCAGGAAACTGAGGCAGAGGCCCTATCACAGGCCAGGCACTTCCTGGCACTGGCACTCTGATCACCCTCATAACAAGCGTGGGGGGGGGGGGACGGTTATCCTCTCCTCACAGGTGAGACACAGGGAGGAGGCACACCCAGGGCACACGAGGCAGGCCCCACCAATTCTCACTGCTTCCCAGGGGCCACTGCACCTGTCACTCCTGGGGGACGTCGTCTCCCCAAGATTGTGGGTCTTTTTAAGGTTGTCCGCCACCATCACCCAGGGAGTACAACACGTGTTCACCTGTCTCATGAAGTTTCAGTGATCTTACTGAGCGAGCAAACACTTAACTGGGCGGTCACTCTGCGCCTGGCACTGTGGTAGGCCCTGGGATGTGGCAGCTGCTCTAAACAGACAAGCTTCCCGGCCTCACTCTGGCTGTGTGAATAGGGATCCAAGGCAGCAGGGCCTTAACCCAGAGGGGGCTACTTCTCACACAGAAAGGCCAGAAGGAGTATTCCGGGGTGTAGCGTGCCCGAGTGACCCAGGCTGCTCTTTCTGCCCCTCTAGCTCCACCTGTGGCTTACATCTTCAGGATCACAAAAGAAAAGCTCCACCCTCAGCTTACGTGGAGGAACTTCTCTTTTCTAAATGAACATTTTGTCGAGATACACCATACCTACAGAAAAGCGCACAAATCAGTAAGTGTATGTAGTCTGAAGAACTCTAACGGAGGGAAGAAACCATGTAACCAGAAGCGAAACACCCAAAAACAGAACAGGACCATCACCTCTGCAGACTCTATTAAGGTGAGCTTCTAGTTTCTGGGGAAAGCAAAGAGACAGCATGGAGAGAGGGGGTTGGAGTCCAAGCTCTGCCACCATGTTCTAGCCGAGTGACTATGACCTCTGTGAGCTACCGTGATGAGCACAGGCCTCTGCTCTCAGAGGTACTCACAGGGCCCTGGAGCCCGGCGCCACAGAGCTCACGTGACCCCATGGGCCTTTCCTAGGACAGCACTGCGGTGCTCACGGGGGATCCTCTCTGATGATCTGGACCTTCCCGTGCCCCCTCCGTGCTCTGACCCACCCAAAGAGCCCTTGAGGGTAGAGACCAACAGGGCCCACCGGCCTCACACCTCCCTGCCACTGCCCAATCCCCCCCGGCTAGTTAGGTTCGGCACAGCATCCTTCCTCCAACCGCACACCCAAAGATGTGGTGGGTCTGGTTGTTGCTCAGGTGGGCTGCGGGGCCTGTAATCAATGATGGTGAGCAGGGTAGGTACCGTCAAGGAAGAGAGCCCAGGCTATGACAGCAGAAACGCCCACGCCAGTCTTGGGACTCTAGAAAGGCTTCCGGGATGGAGTCACACCGCAGCAGGGAGATGTGAGCGGGGAGTAGGTGTTAGGCGAGGAAGAAGGGAAAAGTGCTCCTAGAAGGGGGAACAGCGCCAGCAAAGGCAGACCTGGCAGCCAGAGAAGCACGGTGCACTCACAGCCACGTGCAGACCAGTGACACCAGGACACACAGGGCAGGTGAGCCAGGAAACGAGGCCACGGAGGCTGGTGCAACCACGTGGGCTTGGCTGTCATCCGGGGAGCAGTGGGGAGCCACAGAAGGGCTGAAAGCATGGTGGTGGTGTGGTCTGTGCCGCCCTCCTGGCTGCACGATGAAGGACACACTGGCAGGGCATGGCTGGAGAGGGAGACTGTTGAGGAAGCTGTGGCTGCAGCCTGGGCAGGACAGGGAGCAGCCTAGGTCAAGGAGGCATGGAAGGGTAGGCAGCACCTCCCACTCCACTGCCCCTCACCAGTCCCTGCCATTGACAGCCAGCCCCCTTGCCTGCCCAGCCCCAGGCCAGTGGTATCATCAAAGCCCTGGCCCAGGGCTAAAGACCCTTTATTGCTGGTCAACTTTAACTCTGTCCTCAAGCCCAGGCTCAATGCCAGCTCCTCTGTGAAGCCCTCCCTGCTTGCTGCCAGCTCACACTTAATTCTCCATCAATTCACTTTGTTACTTTGTTACTTTGTTACTTTGATCAAGGTTCTTAATCTCTGTGCCTTAGTTTCCACATCTATAAAATGGGCACAATAGCAGTGCAAGCCTCCCAAGATTATGCTGGGATTAAATGACATAACACACATAGAGAGCTCAGCACAGTGTCAGGCACAGAGAAAACACTCAGTGAAGCTATCCCTGTGGCTGTCTCCCCATATACAGGTGAGCGCCTGGAGGGCAGGGGGCAGGCTGTCTTCATTTCTAAATTCTGTGGTCGGGGGAACAGAAGGCTGGGCAACAGCCAGTGACTCTGCCAGGTGCCTGCCTTCCTGCTGCTCCTGCCCGCTTCCTTGACCTGGCACTTGAGCAGGGTTGCACGCCAGCCTTTGCTTCATTCTCCTGCCTCCAGCACCTCCTGCGGCTGCTAACGTTCACCAAGTACCACACTCTTGATGTTCATGCCACTGAGCATTCTGTCCCATGGACAGGCCCACAGAGCCTGGCCACTGAGGATCCCAGGACTCCTGGTATTGGGAAGGGAAACCCAATTTCCTGACACCACCCCCGCCACTCAATCATGATGCTGAAGATTGGCTCAGTCTTTAGGAACGCTCCAAAACTGCCTCAAGTAGGAAACTGATGGGAAGGGTGCTCCAAACTACTGGGCAGTAAGGCTGACCCTGAGCAACACAGAACAGAGGGGAGGCCCCAGCAGGGAACCCCAACCCTGGTGTGAGAAAGAGAAATAAAGCTATAGACCCAGGGGAAGGCAGATGACTGAAGGCAGATGACCAGAACAACTCAGGGCCTGGCTTGGAATAAGGAACAAGATGGCCCCCTCCCACAATGGGCCAGAGGGGAGGGCCCGGGCAGGGTGGCCATGGAGGGGAGAAGGAATCAGAGAAGAAGAGGTCAGGAGGCGGAGTTGCTTCCAGTTCAAGTATCTGAAGCTTGGAGAGTTTGGAAGCAGCTTTCCCGCCATGCAGGGCAAAGTGGTGTGGTAGGGGCCCTAATAAATGTGGTAAACCCAGATCCAACTTACTCCACCAACTGTTGATGGAGTCCGTGCCTGGCACTCTGCTAGGCACGGAGGAGAGCACGGTGATCCAGACACATGAGCCTTACCCAAAGGAGCTTATCACCGCCTAGGGGACATCTGTGGTCTGGCCCACTGACTCCATAATCAGGCCCTCAGCACATAAACCTGGTGATGCCAGGGGGCAGAGAGTAGGCAGCAAAGCATGGCGGGGAGGGCTGGAGCTCAGCCCTGACTTCGCCCATCCAGCAGCATGGATGCACTAGCACCTTCACATCTCTGAGAGTCAGTTTCCTCATCTACTCAACAAACATAACCTTCCTTGCCAGGCAGGTGGGGATTCCCACTGGTGGCAGGGGGCAGGGAGGCCCCAGGGGATCCTCAGGACAGCTGCAAGGGGAAACCACAGTGCCCATCAGGGAAGGAAGTCACCACGCTGGGCTCACCTGGCTGAGTACAAAGAAGGTACGGACATTCCAGAAACGAGCTTGCTCCTGGAGGAAGGTTTTCAGGTAGATGCCCTCAAACGTCTTGAAGCAGCCAACCAGGGTGACAAAGGTCTCATCCTCTGCATTGTCTGTTATGCTTTGCAGGACAGGCACCATGGGGGCCAGGCCAGTGCCCGAAGCCAGCATGAGGAGCTCACCGTACTGGGGGACAGAATGGGTATATGACAGACATCAGCCCACCCACCTGCTCTAGGGACTTTTCTTGGGCTTGCTTCAACTGCACAGCCCTGCCCTTCCTGGGGGTCCCACCCATCTGAGCTCCCCTCTCAATATCCTCCAAGAAGCCATCCTTGCTTGCGAGGTCTGTGGAAGAGAAATCATGCAATCAGGAGGCTCTAAGTGGCTTTGTTGCTTTCCTGAGCCAACTCCACAGGACTTTGTTTGCACATTTCTCTTGACAGGTAGCCCACTACCTCCCAAAGCAGTCTGTTCTATTATAGGGTGACTCCCCTTGCTGGTGAGGTCTTCCCGCCTCACCCTGAACAGAAACCTGCTCCCACCAAAGCCTTGTCTACCACCCCTATCCCAGCTCTGCTCTCTGGGCTGCCTTCCCTGCCCCAGGGCAACCCTGTAGAGATCGGAGGGCCCCGGCATGGATGCCTCCTCTTGTCTAGACTAAGATACTGACTATACATAAGCACCCAGCATAGTGCTGGCACAGAAGTCCCATGCAACATGTGAGTTTCTTCTCCAAGAGGCCCCAGTTTCATTGACCCAATCACTGACTCCATCTCCTGGCTCTAGATCTCTGAAGTAAGGGTGATCTTCTTTAAGATCAGGGCTTTAAAGGTTAGTGCCTGACCTATACAGCAAGGTGGTTTGTCTCCTTCATTCTAGAGATCAGGCCTCTGAGAATGCAGTCCAGGTTTTCACTAGCTTTATTGACAGCCAATGCATTATCACACCTCCTCGAGTATCAGTCATGCAGACCTGGGTATAAATCTCCAGCCATATGATCTGGACAAATGCTTTCAGTTCTCTGGGCCCTGGTTTCTTCACCAGTGAAATAAATAAATGAATGAATGAATGAATGAATAAATAAGTAAATAAAATAACAGCACCTCCCCACAGTAGCACGTGTCTCAGGATGGTTGTGAGGATTAGACAAGATGTCATCAGGTGCCTGGTGTGGACCCTGGCACTCAACACAGTTCCATCCTGTCTCTCACTGAGCCCTGCTGCCGGCTGCCCCACCCTGTTCAGCCCCGCGGTCCTGGGCCTGCCGTGTTCCACCTCTTTCTCCCATCACTGCTCAGGGTCTCTTCTGGAAAGCTGTCCCCAAGCCAGTAGCGTATGAGGGATCCTTTCTTTGCATCCCCACAGCTCTCTGTGCACCCTCCTCATGACACTGGTCACACCGTATTGTCACCATTTGTGTGTGTCTGCCCCCCCCATCACACTGTGAGCTTCTGGAAGACAGGGCCTTGCCTGACCCACCTGTGGCCCAGGGTGGAGACCTGCAAACGTCTGCAAGGAACACACAGGCAGATGCTCACATACCAGTGTCACGGCTGCTGTGGTCGCCGTCTACCATGAAGACCCCTGCAGAGCAGCACAGCAGGGCCAGGAGGAGGGCCAGAACAGCCCCACGTCCCCCAGGGGAGCAGAACCAAGCCTTAGCCAGTTTCAGCAGTGAAATGTTTGTGTGAGATGACAACTCGTCTTCCTCACTGCCTGGCTCTACAACCTCCCTGGACAGGAAGTGCAGGGGCTTTGCAGGGGTGCCTGAGAGGCTCCACCCAGAAATGGTGGGCAAGAAAATGTTCATTGCAGGGCACCTAGGTGGCTCAGTTGGTTAAGCGTCCGGTTGTTGATTTCTGCTCAGGTCATGATCTCACAATTTGTGGGTTTGAGCACCGCATCAGGCTCTGTGCTGACAGTGCGGAGCCTGCCTGGGATTCTCTTTTTCTCCCTCTCTCTCTACCCCTCCCCGATTTGCATGCACACATGCTTTCTCTCTCTCTAGAGAATCCCAAGCAGACTCCGCACTGTCAGCATGGAGACCGACGCGGGGCTCAAAGCCATGAACCATGAGATCATGACCTGAGCTGAAGTCAGATGCTTAACCAACTGAGCCACCCAGGAGCTCCTAAAGAAACTTAAACAAAAAAAGACAATGTTCATCAGGGGTCCCCTCGAGGTCAGGAGGAAACTGGGACAATCCTGGTCTCTGCTCTCAAGACCTTGGGGGACACAGAGACACCCTCAGCTAAAATACAAGGCTGAGCATGGTTTGTACTAGAAGTGCACTACACAACAGCATTACCACACATACACCACGCATCCATAAAGTAGGGGTAGCAGTACCTAAGAGCTGTTGTGAGGATAAAGGAAAATTTTAGCACGGCAAGGGCTAAAATCGGAGCCTGACACACACGCAGTGCCACACAGGTGTTTCACAGTATCATTATACACCAATACGTGTGTGCATGTGCACTTGTGTACACACCTGTGTGTGGAAAAGGAATTAGAAGGTCATCTGCCAAGATAGTAAGGCTGGTGTGTCTCGGTAGATGGCCTACAGGGGTTCTTTACTTTCTTCTTTTTGCTTTGCTAAATGGTTGGTTGGTTGGTTGGTTTTTGGTAATGTACAAAGACCATATTTCTAATACACAATAAAAAGCTATTTTTATATTAAACAAAAATAATGGAGAGAAAGAAAGGATTCATTCTTTTCACTTGTTTTTGTTTTGCTTTGTTTCCTGATCATAAAGGTAACAGATGCTCACTGTGGATAACTTGGAAGGTATAATGAAGAAAACAAAAATCACCCATAATTCTACCACCCAGAGCCACTAACATTTCATTGCATTTTTTTATATTTTTTCTGTGCATTTAAACTTAGTTGCCCAACCTGTTGTACATTTGGTTTTATACACAGTGTTTGTCACCAGATCTTACAGCGTAAGCACAGACCATCATTTATAAACATAATTTAAAAATCCAGGATAATAGTTTATCAAGTCCCTGTAACCCAGTGTACCTAACAGTTGCCCCGTTGTTGGATATTCTGTTTCCTCCAGTTTCGTGCTATAATAAAGCTTCCGTGTACATGTGCACAACAGACAACGTTTGGATTCTTTCCATAGGACAGGCTTCCAGAAGTGGAATTGCTGGGTCTAAGGATGTGAAGATTCTTAAGATGTGGTACACACTGCCCAGCTGCTTTCCAGATATGCACCAACTGATGAGAAATTATTAATTCGTCCCGGGCACATCAGGGAAGGACATAAATATGCCAGGAAGATGAGGGGAAGAGCCTTCAGGCTGGGAAGCAGTGGGCTCCCAAGTGGAGAACCATGGGTGTAAAAGGAGTAGTCTCCATAGTTTTGTAGCTGGAATGTGAGAGGGGAAAGATACCTGAAGATCTGACGGTTAGGAGTCCTGAGTACCAAGTATGTGAGTGTGGATTTTCCAAGCAATGGGCAGCCATGGACAGTTCTAGAGCATATGCAGGCAATTTTGTTTCTTAGTGCCTATTCCATCTCTTCCCATGTCCAACCCCAAAGATACTCTTGGAGTTGAATTTGGGCTCAGGAAGAATGGCACGGTGCAATTCTGCAGCCTGAAACAGGAAAACCGTGGTCCTGGGGCTAAGCCAGGAGGGGTCTCCTGAAGACTCAGTGTGCTGGCACCAACCTGGTTTGGTTTATAGAAGAAGTCTCCAAATGGACCTCGCCAGAAAGCGGTGTCTCCTGCGCTCCAGGACTCGACGTACCGGGACATCAGCCCAGTCTGGTAGCACTGGGAGCAAACACATGGAGACCTCACTGAGACAGGCACATACGCCCAATATAAACCACATCAGTCACTAACGTGCGGCCCTTCCAGCAGGCCAAGTGCCATATGTGTGTTATCTCATTTAATCCTCCTCGTCACCCCAGGGTTGGTAGTCATTCCGTATTTTCAGATGAGGCCCAGAAGCTTATCCAGAAGGGAAACGGTGAGGCTGGGATAAGAACCACAGGACCGACAGCCTTACCTTCAGAGGTCTCAAACCCACATGACTACAGGGACCGTATACGTAGCATCACTGAGTAAAGAACTAGGTATGAGATGATTAATGGCGACTGACACTCACTCTCAGTATCAGGGAGACAACACAGGGAGATGGGGACTGTAGTAAACTGGTGAGTGAATGAATGTTCCTTCTAAAGGAGGAAGATACTTTGCAGACTCCAGGATACAGCTTGTCACATCTTCTGATTTTCCAAGAGGGGCAGGAGATACAAATTTTTATGTAAAACCACCTTGTTTTGAAATGTCAGAAATCAATTCTAATTTTTTAAACACTGTGCAGGCCCAAACCAAAGATAATTATGTGCCAGTTTGTAGGCCGCTCATTTGCAACCTCTTCATTGCCTGTTACTGTGTCCTGGCTGGATGAGAAAAGTGAAGGTTGTAGAGGGGACTCCTTCACGGGGGTGGGCAGCCCACATTTCCTGGGGGCATGCCCACTCTGGGTCTGGCACCGTGCTGGGGCTGCAGGGAAGGCAGCTAAACCGTAAGTTCCATGAAGGCAGCCAGAGTCTGAACCATGGGAAAGACTTAATAAATATCTCAATGAATGAATTAATCAATCCAGATCCAGGCCCACCCCTTAAGGAGCTCACAAACTAGGAGGGACCGAAGTCTCACACATACACAAGATAGAGACTACCTAATGGGGCACCTGGGTGGCGCAGTCGGTTAAGCGTCCGACTTCAGCCAGGTCACGATCTCGCGGTCCGTGAGTTCGAGCCCCGCGTCAGGCTCTGGGCTGATGGCTCAGAGCCTGGAGCCTGTTTCCGATTCTGTGTCTCCCTCTCTCTCTGCCCCTCCCCCGTTCATGCTCTGTCTCTCTCTGTCCCCCAAAAAATAAATAAACGTTGAAAAATAAACAAACAAACAAATAAATAAATAAATAAATAAAACCCCATGAAAAGGACAGAGTGCTGAGAGAGCCCTGAGGAGGTGCAGTCACTTCCAATGGAGTAGGATCAGGAATGGCTTCCTGGAGGAGGAGGCATTTGAGCTGAAGCTTGCAGGCTAGGCAAGACTGCATTCCCTGGGGATAGAAGCAGGAAGGCAGAGAGGATTCTGGGCATCAGGTGTGGTGTGGTCAAGGGAAGGACAGTCCAAGACACAAGTGTGAGGAGGAGGGGGAAGCTCTGGTAGACAGGACTGAAAGGGTGTCTCGAGTGAGATTATAACCAAGCTGGAAGGAGATGGAACCTTGGTCACCAGACACGCTTTGAAGAGCCCACAACTACCCGTGGGAGCATCCCTGATTTCCTCGGGCACCACACACATAAAGCAAGCAAAGTCTTCAGCTCTCCTGCAAGAGGCCTGGGAGGGAGGCTACAGTTCTCCACCTAACTTGCTGGAGACCTGCCTCCAGCACACCTGTTTTCTGGCCCCGGTCTTGGCGGAGGCACAGCCCCAGCTGGGGCTTTCACAGCCCTACCGCACAGACAGCACTCAAGGAGAAAGGAAGGATTCTTCTGTGTCTCCAGCACCCACCCAAAGCCTGCTCGATACATACCTGTTAAACAGAACTGACACCGAACTTCTGTTCTTCCACTTGGGATCCTATTACCCAAGGGGCCTTGGGACAGTGACATCATCACTCTGAGCATCCGTTTCTTTATCCGTAAAGTGGGATAATAAGATCTGCTCTGCAGGATGGTTATGAGGTTGAAAGGAGATGAGGAATATAAAGAGCTAGAAGCAGTGCCTGGTGCCCAGAAGGTGCCTGAGAAATGAGAGTTCCTCCTTCCCATCCACATGGGAGGTAAACCTAAAAAACCCGCCTGCCTTCCCAATTTGCAAAGACATTTTCAGCTCTTCCCAGCCAGCGGCTTAGGGATAATTAAGCATCTCTCTAAAGAGAGGCTTTCCGGTAAACGAAGGAGAAAATCAGCCTTAGAGCTGGGACAGATCCAGCTGCCCTGAAGAACGGTCTCCAGGCTTATCCTTTCAACAGAAACACACCCAGACAAGCAGCTTGGGGAAGCAGGCCATTTGGAGAGGATTTGTGGAATCTCCCAGACAAACAGTTGCGTGGAGAAGGGATCCCATCCAAGCTTATGTGTGAGGGAATAAACACTCGGGCTTTGACTGAAGTCAGGGAAGACAGGAGCCAAGACAGTGCTGGGGTCCTGAAGTCAGGAGGCTCACTCACCAGCCACACTGCTTACTACCTGTGGAGGCTTGGGTCCCCCTGGAGTCTCAGTGTGCTTGTCAATGAAAGGGAAATAATAATTCCCGCCCTACCAGGGAGATAAAGGATGTGAAAGCAATTCTTAAATATCAGTGTTCCCTGGGACTCTGTTTGGGAAATGACGATGTAGATGATCAGGTTGACTTGTATAAAACTACCACTTCTGTTAAGTCAAAAATGTTAGAGTATCAGCAATTTCACACAGTTCAACCTAATTATTTTTTCCACATAATTGGACCTTCAAGCCCTCTTATATACATCTGGCACCCAGGCCTTGGGTCTTGCGGGGAAGGGGGGATTTGTACCCAGCCCATTTTGTTCAGCTCATCTCTGCCAAGTGCCCCACCCACCTTGGCTGCTCCCACGAGCACCCCTCCTCCTGCCAATCAGACTGGGTACAGTTCCCACAAGACCATGCTCTGTTTCACACCTCCCTGCCTTGGGTTAGCTGTCCCCTCAGCCTGGAATGCCACTCCCTACCACCGCCAATATGTATTTGGTCTTCAAGGCCCAACTCAAATGCCCCAGCCCGTCTACCTCCCTGACAGGTGGTCTCAGGTTAGTTCAGTTCACAAGGTGCTCCATGTCCCACTTTCTCCTGCTTGCCTCCTGCAATTCCAGGACAAGTGACTGACAGTTCCCCAAACTGTGCCTCCTTTGCCATTGTATGTGTTGTTCCCAGCACTGAGTTTCCTTTCCACATATCCCTCTCAGTCCTCCCCTCCTTAACTTCAACATACAGCTCAAACTCACAGCTTCTGCTAGGAAGCCCAGCTCCCTTCCCTGCAGCCCCAGCTGCCCTGAATTGGATTGGGGCCTTCTGTCATGCCATCTATCATATCATAGTGTCCTGGTCCCTTGTCAAAGGTGGGCATAGTATCTGACTCATCTTTGGATCCCAGCTACAAGCACACAGTCAGTACCAAATGACTTGGTTCCCCCTTCCCCTGGGTTCAGTGCTCATTCTCCGTGAGTAGGTGAGAAGGAACAGTGTTCCCTTTTTCAGTCTGAATGTCCTTTTCATAAAATCTGTCTCTGTTGGTGGTCCAGCAGCCCCTCTTTCCCAGAAAAGAAGATAGGAGAAGGCTTCCTTCACTGTCCCTGCCCTTTCCTCAAGCCAGCCTCCTCCCATGTGAACACTGGCTTTTCCCACATGGGTTGGGTCTGTCCCATCCCAACCAAGCTGCCAAATGGAGATCCAGTCCATACCATCTTAAGAACATCTGTGTGGGTCAACTCACCTTGATTAAAACTTCAAAGTATCCTTCCGCGTTGGCAGGGCTGATGGGCGTATAGGCTCTCTGAATTTCTAAGTCATCCACTTTCCCTCTGAGAAAGAGAAGTATATGGTCAGGCAGTCAGGCCGTCATTCAACAAACCCTTGTAGGTACCTACTCTGTGTCCGGCTGGTGAAAGCCAGGGTCCAATCATCCCCAGTGGTCCTCACTGAAGATGGAGCAGAAAAAAGGAACACTGGGCTCCCCCGCTGCCACATCCTGGCTGTGAAACCCAGCCAGGATCAGGTCCCTGATCCCTTAGTGGTCCCTTCCGTAAGGTGGAGACAACCATTTGTGTCCCTGTTGTGTGGTTCTACCAGGACTACAGATGGGAAAGTCTTCAAATAGTCCACTAATGATGTGAACTGCTTTGAGGACATCACTGTGCTTTTTCCTGACCTCTTCTTTTTTAATTCAATTAAATTAATTTAATGTTTATTTATTTACCTATGAGAGAGAAAGCGAGTGGGGGAGGGGCAAAGAGAGAGAGAGGGAGACAGAGAATGCCAAACAGGCTCCACACTGTCAGCGCAGAGCCTCACATGGCGCTTGAACTCACAACCCAGGAGATCATGACCTGGGCCAAAATCAAGAGTTGGACGCTTAACTGACTGAGCCACCCAGGCACCCCTTCCTGACCTCTTCTTGACCATAGAATGAGAAAGATAAAGGCTAACACTTATGGAATGCTTACTACCATGTACCAGGAGCATCAGAATCAGAAGGATGCTCGAAGGCGCCCTAGTCCAAGGCCCGACCTATGATGTTATCAAAAAGGGTGCTGGGATGATATCATGAGTAATAATAGCAGCCATACTGCATTAAATGCCAACTGTGCACCAGCCATATAGTATGCATTATCTCATTTAACAAATAATAACCCACAGGAGGAAACCAAGGCTAAGGATGTCACTTGCCTGAGGTCACACAGCTAGAATTCATCCTTAGCTCTGCCTGACTCCAGAGCTGGGTTCCTCACATGACACCTCAGAGCTTTCCAGAAGCACCCAAGCACTCCTCTTTTGAGTCCGACTGCATGCAAAACTCTCTTCTCAGAGATATGCATGGATTAAAAAGGCCCCATTGAACTGCATCAAAAGCAGGAAGATAGATAGAAATATTCAATAAGTGCTTAGGGAACAAACAAGGAAATAATAAACAGAACATACGGCGTGGCATGGACACAGAGAGCACTGTGACATCTGCTACCACAGAGGTACACACTGACATGCTACAGATGAAGGGACCACTCTCATCCGGGGAACTCAGGAGGCCTCCTGGAGCTTTTGATACCCTCCTGGGTATGAAAGAGGAACAGGCCACTGAGAGGTGAAAGTGGGAATAGGAAGGAAGTAATTCCAGGCAGAAGGAATAGCCTGGGCAAAAGCTCAGAGGTAGGAAATGCAGAGCAAGTCAGGAAGTGGTGAGTGGATCATGAGGCTGGGGCAAGGCACAAGTGTGATGGAGGAGTGGGGAGAACTTGGTGGGGAAAGAAGCTGGAGCTTCAGGGAGCTTCCCTGGAACCCAGCAGGTATCTGAATGGGAGCGACAAGGTCAGCTACATGTGTTAGGAATGTCACTGGAGCGGCAGAGAGAGTGGAGGAGAGGGGCCAAGCTAGGGGCAGGAGTTCTGGGCATCCCTATTTATGGATGGAGGGCTGCATGGGGCTGCGACTTGCCCCAGAACCACTGGGACAGTGAGCTTTAACCACAGGCAGCCAGGGCACAGGCCAGATGCACTGGACACAAACACCAGGGGTCAGGATGAGGCAAGTGGCTGGAGTGTGACCAGCAGTAAGACATGTTCTCCTTGTCTCCTGGCTATACCTTCCGTCTGCTTTGCTGGCTCCTTCCCCTCCTGCCAATACCACGGGTGCTGGAATTGCCAGGGTTTGGTCCTCTGTCCTTCTGTCTTTCCATGTCACACACACTCCCAAATGTCATCCAGGTGCAGGCCGATGATTCCCACACCCACATCCATAGCTCAGATCTCTCTGCTGAGCCTCAGACCCATATAGTCAACTGTCTAGCAAATGCCTCCACCTGGAGGTCCCAAAAGGGCCTTGTCCCTGGGCAGGTCAGGTCAGGTGGAGCATGGGGTGGGGATCAAGATGAGGGGAGAGGGCAGAAGTAGGCTGGGAGGAGGAAGGAACTTCAGAGGAGTGGTAGAGTGTAGCTGGGGAGCCAGGCTGTCTGGATTTGAATCCCAGCTGTGTGATCCTGGGCAAGTCCCTTATTCTCAAGGACAAGTGTCCTTTCTATCAACTGGCACTCATGTTAGGTTAATACCACAGGCTCTAGAGCCAGACTGCTCGCCTTCAAAATCCTGGCCCCAACACTTCCTAACTGTGTGACCTTGGGCAAGTTACTGAACCTCTCTGACTTCAGTTTCCTCCTGAGAATGACAATGGTACCTACTGCACAGGGTTTTGTGAAGATTAAATGAGTTCCCTAGGTATGAGTACACAGAATTGCACCTTGGAGAGTAAATACTATGAAGGCGTTCACTGTTGCTGTTGTTGCTACTAGTTAATATGAAAACACAATCCCAGAACCCTTTGAGTCAGGTACCACTATGTTTATTTTAAAAGGGATAAATGGAGGCATGAGGGAGGTTAAGCAAGTTGCTCTAGGACACACAGCTAGCAAATGGCAAAGCAGGGCCTCAAAGCTTTGGCCCTCCCACCATCTGAGTGTACCGTAGGATGAGGTGCTGTCCAGGCCGCAGGCCGAGCTGGCTGTTCCTGGGTAGTGCAAACCGAATACGGTAAGTGTCCTTGGTGAGTCTGTCCACGGCACTGATGCGGAAGGCCAGGAAGGTCTCTGGGTTCAGCTTGGAAGGGCAGCTCTGCAACGGGAAAATATCCAACAGCTAGGACCTGGGACTCAACAGACACACAAGCATCCACAAGCACCCTCCTCACTCTCCGCAAGGACAGGCTATTTCTGCCAGTAAGTTTTCTGTACAATAGAGAGTAGTCCCACCTCACTGCCCTTTCATGCTCTGATCTAAGAAGGCCCGAACATTTCACACTGAGCTCACCCTGCTCTGAAGCCTTCCATGGCTCCTTCAGCCCCAGGATATAAAGCGCAGCCTCCTCAGCTGGGCACTCCAGGGCCCTGTGGATGAACGTCAAGCCTCATTTTCTCTCCCCTGCATCAAATGGCAAACCTTTCTCTATTCTCCCAAGAATACCCTGCTGCTTCCTATCTGGGAGTCTTCATTTGCTCAAGCTGTGCCCTTTATCCAGAACACTCATCTCCAATGTATGAAATACCTACTCATCCTTCAAACCTGCTAAAATTCAGGTTTGCAGAATTTAGAAACTGATGGGATCTTAAGATGATTCAATCCAATATCGTTATTATCCATGTGGGGAAACTGAGGCCCGAATGGTAGTGGCTTACTTGTCCAAGGTCACACCCTGAGCAGGAATTCAAATTCACGTCTTACGTTTCAGTCCCCTGCCTTTAACACTCCATTTACCTGTACCTCCTCTCAGAAGCTTTCTATGAATGTCATGACTCACAGATCTCTCGCCTGTAAAATGCCCAAGCCCCATTCACTCCTGGGACTACCCCATGCCCCACCTCAGGGTCAGGCTTTGAACTTGGATCTGTCTGCTTCCAGTGAGCACACTCTTTTCTCTCTGCTGTGCAGAGTCAGGGAAAGCATCTCCACACAGGTCCACCGTGCAGGGCAGAGGCCAGGCAGACGCTGCCACTCTGGCCCTCTTATCTGAGGAGCAGACCTCTCTCACCTGTGACTCCTCTCCACTCAGCAGGCTCCTGTCTTTGCTGGCTCGCGCTGCCTCCCACCTCGCCAGCTCTCGGTGATAGAGATCAAACACACAAGGTGAGCAGCCACTGCCACAGCACTGGGAGGGCAAGGGCTCCACGGGCCGAAGCTGCAGCCAGGCTTCCTCCTCCTCCTCCCCCGTCTCGTCCATCATCCGTGGGGCTTGGGTGGCCTGGGAGGGACAACTGGGTGCTCTTCCCAGAGCAGGTTTGACTTTGTGAGGCCAGAGGCCCAGGCCCTGCTCCTCCGTCAGCCTGAGAGAGGGAAAACATATGGGTTATACTCTGGTCATCTCTATTCTTCCTATTCTCCCTGAGGCCTGCAAGTGCCAAACTCTGTGTGAGCATCGGGACAGGGATGAATCAACCCTGAGATCTGCTGCCTGGCAGGGGAGGCAGACGGGACACAACAATCAGAACTGGCAACCAAGGTTTCCTGACTCTTCCTGTGCTTTCAGTGCCGGATTAAGCACTTTACACAGAAAACCTCATTGAATTTAAAAAATATTTTAAGTGATAGGGTGTCTGGGTGGCTCAGTCGGTTAAGCTTCCGACTTTAGCTCAGGTCATGATTTCATGGTTTGTGGGTTGAAGCCCCGCATCAGGCTCTGTGGTGACAGCTCCGAGCCTGGAGCCTGCTTCGAATTCTGTGTCTCCCTCTCTCTCTTTGCCCCTCCCCACTCGCACTCTGTCTCCCTCTCTCTCTCTCTCTCTCTCTCTCAAAAATAAACATTAAAATAAATAAGTAAATGATATTCAAATGCTAAAACACAGTACTTATGTATAATTTAGTAATTATAGAAATTATTAAAAAGGAAATTAAAATGTTTAGAAAAGAACACCTATGTAACTACAACATGTTCAAGTACAAAGAGCCTTGCTAGCAACCCAGAAGCCAATCATGTGTCCCTTCCTGGTGACCTCCCATCCCCCACAAGGTAACCATCATCCTGACTTTTGGCATAATCATTCCCTTGCTTTTCAAAAGTAGTTTTGCCACTTTTGTGTGCAAACTTAACCACTGCAGTTCAGCTTTGCCCAGTTTTTACCTTTACGTAAACGGAATTATACCAACATATCCTTTTCTGTCTTTACTCAGTTTCTGTCTTCACTCAGGCAAGTCACCCACCAAATTGCTGCGTTTCATTTCATCTTTATAATGAGGCTAGTACTAGAGATGTCATTTTATAGGCGGAAAAACTGGAGGCGAGGTGGGGGGCGGGTTTTGTTTAATAACTTACCAAGGTCACATAGCTCCTAAAAGACAGGGACGTCCCGTTTCTTGGTTACCAATCGCCTCCCACAATTCCTAACCTTTAAAACCTTTTCTACTTTTCCTGCTTCCCATGTCCATTTACACAGGGGCTTCCCATGGTCCCAGAGGATGTGCTTCCAGCCTCTCCCTACACCACCCATCCTCACACCTGCCACTAGCTCTTATCACACCAGTCTCCCACTTAAGCACGCTTTAATGGCTCCCCATTGCCTACTGGCTCGAATCCAATCTTCTTGCCTGGTGCCCCATGCTTCTTCTGATCAGAACTTGTCCACATTCTCTTACCGCTTGGTTTTAGAAGGGCAGTCCCTCTGTGCGCAATACATCTTTCTCCTAATTTCTCTGAAATTTTGGTTTCAGAAAATTTGGTTCTACTGTTCGTGAGCTCTATGATTTCAGGAGGGTTGAGCAGGCTGCAACCCCCTTGAGGGCAAGGATGGTGTCTTCTTCTTCCTGTATTCTGCCACCAAGCACAAGCCTGGCATATGCAAGGCTCCAGTGAATGGTGAGTGCTCATTCAGTTTATAAATAAGGTCTGGGAGCCAGGCACACTGCTAGGTGCTGAGATACAACAGATATAAATAGGACATGGGCTCTCTACATAAAGAGATAAAGCTTGCAGTCTAGCATGGTGTTACATCAATTCAACTCATTTTTATTTTGTGCTATGGACCAGGTATGTATTGTGAGTGAATGAAGTCTGGAGCCCTCTTTATGCTTTTTT